ATACTCTGGGAATTCCAAAAGAGAAAATGAGTAGTACAATATAATTAAAGAATAAGAAAAGATAAGAGATGAATGGAAAATAAATCAGCTTAAATATTATACATATTTGAAAAGACAGCTGAAAAAAGGATCATGAAAAGCATTTTTTACCAGTTGAAAACAATAAAAATTAGTTATTAGACATTTCTGAGTTTGGATGTGCCCTAGAAAGAATTTTGAACAATGTATCCTCCTCTTTCCTTGCTGTAGACAGAGCAAATCACTTCTTGTGCAGTAAGGTAGGGAATATATAAACTGCTAAGCACATAGATCAGATTGTCAAAATATTAGCTGTAATAAGAAATGTTTTCTTTTTAGAAAATAAAAACAATGAAGATGAATGAAGAAAGCTTACAGGAATTTTGGGGTCAGTATTAAATAGCAAATATTTAGGTTATTGAATATTAAGATAAACTCAGTAAATGTCAAAGGGGAAAAAAGTTTATTCAAAGCAATAATAACAGAAAATATCCCAAGCCTAGAGAAGAATACAGATATCTAGATACTGAAATGTTAAGGTCATCAACAAATGTCCATGAAAAAATGGAAATAAATATATTGTTCATGGATTGGAAGAACCAATATAGTTAAAATGTCTTACAAAGTAACCTACAGATTCAATGAAATCCCTTGCAAAATAGCAATGCCATTTTTAAAGCAGCTACACAAACATCCTAATATTTATATGGAACCATGAACAAACTGAAAAACCATCCTGTGCAAAACAACACAGCAGGAGGTCTTATACCAATTGACTTCAAAATATACTACAAAGCTGTAGAAATTTAAAAAGTTTATGGCATCTGCATAAATGCAGACCCTTATACCAAATGAACAGAAAAGGAAGTCCAGGAAGTGGAGCTGGGGCTTAAAGTGGTAGAGCACTAGCCTTGAGCAAAAGAGCTCAGAGAGAGCGCCCAAACCCCAAGTTCAAGTGCCATGACCAGAAGAAAGAGAGAGAGAGGACAGACAGACAGACACACAGAGACAGAGACAGAGACAGAGAACGGAGAGAAAGAAAGAAAGAAAGAAAGAAAGAAAGAAAGAAAGAAAGAAAGAAAGAAAGAAAGAAAGAAAGAAAGAAGGAAGGAAGGAAGGAAGGAA